AAAATATGAAATGATAGATAATAGAGTATATTTGGAGACGCAGCATGGTATCAGTCTGCCTGGGTTCAAATCCCAATTTCACCACCCTGTGACCTTCAACAAGATATTGTGACATCTCTAAACCTCAGAACTTTTCATTTATAATATTACACTAATTATCACAATTAATAGAGCTGTTATAAAGATGAAGTGAGATATTGTAAGGAAAGTCCTTAAATTATCATAAGAACAGATAATTTGGTACACATGCAATAATTATGGTATCTCTGTGAGCCAAGAAGTTGCATGTACTTACATGGGTTATTTCAAATTCCAGTTGAAACAAACAGACAACAAAAACAAAAACCTGTGTACTCAGATATTACATATCTTTAAAACTTGTTCCTTATTATACTATTTAGGAGATAGAGTGCCAAAGAATTTTTTTTCACTTGATTTTTTTTTTTCGGGGGGGTGGGGTTTGAGACGGAGTCTTGCTCTGTTGCCCAGACTAGAGTGCAGTGGCCTGATCTCGGGTCACTGCAACCTCTGCCTCCCGAGTTCAAGTGTTTCTCCTGCCTCAGCCTCCCAAATAGCTGGGATTACAGGCGGATGCCACCACACCCAGCTGCTTTTTGTATTTTATTTTATTTTATTTTTTCAGTAGAGACAGGGTTTCACCATGTTGGCCAGGCTGGCCTCAAACTCCTGACCTCAGGTGATCCACCCGCCTTAGCCCCCCAAGGTGCTGAGATTACAGGTGTGAGCCACCGTGCCTGGCTCGCTTGTTTTTTCAACTCTTGTTTATTAAAGTGGTTTAGGCATTGAGAATGCAATGGAGAGTTGTATTCTCTGTCCTCCAAGGACTAAGGAATATAAAAAGACAGACAACTACAGCAAAGCATGGTAAGTGTCATATGATTGGGGAAATTCTCTGAGAACACATTCTCTGGAACAGCTAACTTTGGCTCACAGTGGATCAAGGAAGGTGTTCCTGAAGGAAGTCACGTTGGACCTGTTTCTCAAAGAATGAGGGGAGACAGCCAGTGAAGGGACAGAGGTGGCGAGTTCCTGAGTATGCAGACCAGGCTGGAGAAGAGAGCAAGTGTACCTCATGAAAGGAAAGTACATCTTTGAGAATGGTTGCAACAGAGAATGTAATACAAACAAGGGTTGAGAGAAGAAGCTGAGAAATGAGCAGAAGACTTGGTGAACCTGAGGAAGAGACTATAATTATTGGTGGTTAGGAATTGTCAGCAAATTTTAATCAAACAGTGACATGACTGGGCCTTCTTTTTGAGAGATTATGCTCCCTGCAGCAGAGAAAATGGAGACAGAGATACTAGTTAGGAGGATGCTGGAGAGAGAAACCTGTGGGAAGGGCACAGTGGTTAGATCGTAAAGGGTAGAATTGTTGGGATGCAGAGATTGATTTCATGGGATGAGAGTGAGGAAGACGAAGGAACAGGCAACTCCTTGGTTTTTGCTTTGGGAGATGGGGTGGAGAGTGATGCCATTCACTGAGTTGATTACACTAGAGGGAGAGGAGCTGGGGAAGAGGGAGGTGAAAGTTGCTAGGTCAGTTATTTTCTTTGAGTCTGAAACACTTGGAAGAAATCCAAGTAGACATGCTTACAAGGCAGATAATTATAAGGGCCTTGATAAGGATATTTTTACTGAGCCCAAACACACGCATTTTATGGGCCCCCTGCAGGACCCTGAGCTTGGAAGGTGCAGACAGCAAGCAAACATGGCCCAGAAGAAGGACCAGGGCAACTGCTCTTTAGGAAACTGGTCAGATCATCAGAAAACAGCCTGATGGTAAAACTGTGGCTCTATTACTTGGACTTGGGGTGCAGCATGCAGATATATCTGCAGCATGAAGCTCCTCCAGAACGAGACAACCTGAATCTGCAAATCAAGGACTTGTTCAAACCAACAAACCAATCTTCCACGTGAAGTTCTGTGGCTTTGCCTTTTGCAAACCCCTGCCTTGCCTTGGCCAGGCAGTCTTCACCAGGGCTGCTCCTTTTTGTATATTATGAATAAATTCCCATGTTTAAAGTCAATTGTCTCTGTAGCTTAACTCTGCAGCAGATCTTTGCAGCCCGACACTCATTATGCCTGAGTCCTTTTTAAAAAAAATTTCTCTAGAGCCCCCCCCAGAAAAGAGGTCTGAACTACAAATAATAGATTCAAGAGTCCTGTGGGCTGCTGCATAGGAAATAAAACAGAAAAATGACATGGGTTGTGTCACTGTTAGAGAGTAATGATGCACATAACCATATGAATGGTTCTGAGAAATTCCACTCGAGAAAAAACTCATTCAACTTTATTGAACACACCATCTCTAAATTGCTTGACCCCGAAAGGTTTTTTCTCCTAAGTAACCTCATTAAATCCCATAGAACTAGAGTTTTGAGGCCAGGCACTGTGGCTTATGCCTGTAATCCCAGCACTTTGAGAGGTCAAGGCGGGTGGATCACCTGAGGTCAAGAGTTTAAGACCAGCCTGGCCAATACGGCAAAACCCCGTCTCTACTAAAAATACAAATTAGCTGGGCATAGTGGTGGGTGCCTGTAATCCCAGTGACTCAGGAGGTTGAGGCAGAGAGAATTGCTTAAAACCCAGAAAGCAGAGGTTGCAATGAGCTGAGATTGCACCACTGCACTCCAGCCTCAGCAATAGAGCGAGAGACTGTCTCAAAAAAAAAAAAAAAAAAAAGTACTAGAGTTTTGTAGAACATGCTTTGATAAATGATAGCTTAGGCATTTTGCAAGAAGTAAGTTTATTGATATTCATATTTGTATAAATATTTATATTTTATAACAAAAATAATATCAACCAGATTATATGATTTTTCTGTTATTTCTTCACTGAAGTAGCTTCACTACTAAATGCTTTGTAAAGCAAAGTACTACCTTCCAGATCACCAGAGGAGCTGCAATTTAGGCATAATATCCATGAGGAACTAACCAGCCTCTAGAGAAGTATATCTTTACATCTGAAGGATAGGCTGGGCACAGTGGCTCATGCCTGTAACCCCAGGACTTTGGGAGGCTTAGGCAGGCAGATCGCTTGAGCTCAGGAGTTTGAGACTAGCCTGGGCGATATGGTGAAACCCCACATCTACCAAAAATACAACAAAATTAGCCAGATGTGGTGATGCACGCCTGTAATCCCAGCTACTCAGGAGGCTGAGGTAGGAGGATTGCTTGATGCCAGGAGATGGAGGTTGCAGTGAGCCGAGATCGCACCATTGCACTCCAGCCTGGGCAACAGAGCCAGATTTCGTCTCAAAAAAAAAAAAAAAAAAAATCTGAAGGATGTCAGACACATTGAAAACCTGATAAAATTTATATACCATCTCCCTAGGTGGAACAGTGCATATTTTTTCATCTAACCCTAAAATCAAGAGATCCACAGGCCCTACATCACAGGTAAAGAGCTCCTGCTTTCTAAGACACTAAAACAATTTAAACCAAATCAATAATCGCCAAAATAACAGTGCCCCTGAAATCAAAAGTCCTTTGCACTTGGAGTATGTGTGAAGCGCATCTTTTGGTCAGTACCCTAAGCCAATCTCCAATACCAATTGTCTTCCGGGTTCCAGGTTTATCTGTGGCTCTGCAGCTGGCAGAGGCTTTCCAATCAAATTCTATTACTTGCCACATTGTTTGGGACTGCTCTTTAGTGAATCATTGTAGATTTTCTTCTGAAATTCACGCTTTCAGTTATCCTATTTGAACTCCCTGTCACAGAGGCTAAGTAGTGAGGGGCTCTGAAGACACAATATATTTATGGTAGAAAGAACACTAAACTGAGAGATTGATGATAGGACATTTTCTCCCACATTCATCATTAACTAGCTATGTAATCATGGAAAAGATGATCTATTTCTTCAGGTCTCTCAATTACGAAATGAGTACAATTATTCCTATCCTTCCTGTCTCACAACATTGCTGTGACAAACCGATAAACTGAAGCCCATGAAAACACTTTGAAAATTCGGAGGTTACATATAAATGTAAGAGAGGATGATGATGATGGCAGGCATATCTCTAATCATTACGAATGGAACTCAGTAAACACTGGGACTCAGTAAATACTTGTTCATAATGGTTATTGGTTATGATTTGGTTGTGAGTCATCACCACTCAGACAATGAGTTGTATGTGAAGACAGCTTGAGTTGAAATTTCCCATGGAAGGTATGTGGCAGTGTATCAGATTCACTACCTTTATGTGTAGACGATCTACACTACTATTATGGATTCACCCATCTATTTTATAGCATTGCCACTAGGTTGTTGCTATTTAATGTGGTGCTAGAACCCACAGTTGAGCTATTTCCCACAACTCTAGCTTTGTGAATTAAAGTGAGATCGCACCACTGCACTCCAGCCTGGGTGACAGAGTAAGACTCCATCTCAAAAAAAAAAAAAGAAAGAAAGAAAGTAGAAGATATAAACAATTCTATCTCTATTTCTGCACTTCAGAGAGCTATTTGAGGCTAACATTAAATCTATTTTAAAACCTTCTTGAAATAAAACTTTTACATAAAGGCGAGATGTTAGTGGCACATCATTTACGAGGTACATTGAGCAGCCTAACGATCATAACAAATTTTTTAAACCTGACAACTTTTTTTTTCTGTAGGCTCCTTGTGGTATTTCACAAAACCCTAACAAATTTTTTTTTAAATTTTAATTTGAGACAGAGTCTCACTCTGTCACCCAGTCTGGAGTACAGTGGAGCGATCTTGGCTCACTGCAGCCTCCACATCCTGGGTTCAAGCGATCCTCCTGCTTCAGCCTCCCAAATAGCTGGGACTACAGGCATGCGCCACCATGCCCGGCTAATTTTTGTATTTTTTGTAGAGACAGGGTTTTGCCATGTTGGCCAGACTGGTCTCGAACTCCTGACCTCAAGCGATCTGTCTGCCTCGGCCTCCCAAAATGCTGGGATTACAGGCCTAAAAACTTTTTAAAAACAATTACATGGTAAAGAATTCAGGGACCGGGGCCGGATAATGGCGGGCGCTGCAGAAGATGCGCGAGCTCTTTTCCGGGCTGGGGTCTGCGCGGCCCTGGAGGCCTGGCCGGCCTTGCAGATCGCTGTGGAAAATGGCTTCGGGGGTGTGCACAGCCAGGAGAAGGCCAAGTGGCTGGGGTGTGCAGTGGAGGATTACTTAATGCTCAATGCTGACTTGGAGCTAGGTGAGGTGGAAGACTTCCCTGGAGAGCTGTTGACCAACGAGTTTGATACAATTGTGGAAGACGGGAGTCTGCCCCAGGTGAGCCAGCAACTGCAGACCATGTTCCACCACTTCCAGAGGGGCGACGGGGCTGCTCTGAGGGAGATGGCCTCTCGCATCACTCAAAGAAAACGCAAGGTCACAGCCACTGCACTTAAAACAGCTAGAGAGACTGATGAGGATGAAGATGATGTGGACAGTGTGGAAGACATGGAGGTCACAGCTCCGAATGATGGGGCTGCCACAGATGGTGTCTGCTCCCAGCCTGAACCCTCTGATCCAGACGCTCAGACTATTAAGGAAGAGGATATAGTGGAAGATGGCTGGACCATTGTCTGGAGAAAAAAATGAGTGGGGATGGTTGGAAATGGCTTTGGGCCCTTATTTGCTAGTTCTGAGAGTTGTCTGTAGGGTTGTTTTTTTTGTTGTTTGTTTTTTTTTTTGAGGATTGCAGACCTGTGGACTGGTTACCCCATCTCCACCCTCTCCCTTGTTCCCGTGTCTGGCTCCCTCCAGGGCAAGGAAAACCTAGGGTCCTTGGTCTTGGGGGTGGGGGGACCTTGTCCAGCACATTCCCTTGGGCCTTTAGTTAACATCTGAGTGACCAAGCCGGGTTCCCCAGTACAGTGTCGTTTGGGTGCAGTCATTGTGAGGAAGGGGATGAGTGAGTGTGGGTGTGGCTGGAGGAGGAGCTAGATGCCAGTGGGCAGGTGGATTTGGGGAGGAGAGGACCAGCAGCAGCAGCAGTACTCAGTGATAAGGGGCTGGCTGGGTCAGGAATGGTGAGATGAACATGCAAGTGGAAGAGAGAATGGTTGAAGATGTGAACGAAAGTAGCTCTGGAGCCTTTCCCTTACCCCAGCCCCCACACATGCAACAGCTCTGTACCCCTGTCCAGAACTTGGAACCTCCCAGGAATGCTGCCTTCCTGCAGCCCAGCCTCCAGCCCTGGGTTCCCTCAGGAATTCGAGGACCTTGGCTAGGTGGTGAGCTTGGAAGAGCTGGGCTTTGTTTTCTGCCTCCTGTAACCTCTTTCCTTACTCCTTATCCCATCCCATTTGAGTTCAGGGGTGAGGCTTAAGATCTTAATAAATAAGATCTTACAGATTAAAAAAAAAATTCAAACAGAGAAGACCACATTTACAGGTGGAAATTTGGGACTGTTACTAGATTCAGTCAATCACTTATTCTTTTCACTAATATTTACCATCTAAAATTTATTTATAAATACCTACTGTATATATGGTGGCTAAAAAAAGCAAACAAAATATACATGGTTTCTACCTGTATGGCACTTACAATCAAATGGGAGAGAGAATCCAAAGAAAGCAAATGTGTATGTAGTTACACCTTGTGATGGGTTCAATGAAAGGTGTACTATGAAAAAAGTAAGAGGTGAGGGGGCCTATTTTGATTGGCTTATCAGAGAAGACCTATCTGAGGACATGACATTTAAGCTCAGAACTGAAGAGAAGTCTAAGCCAAGGAAGAGTGTCTGCAAAACCCTAAAGGAATGAAGGAGATTAGCATGTTTGAGGAGTTATAGCAAGACTTGCACTAAATTCTAGTGAGGGCAGAGATCACTAGAGCAGGTTGGTCAAATATTGACGAGACTGGTAAAATGCTGAACTTCAACCTAAGTGCAAAGAAAAGCTTTTGACAGATTTTGTGTAGGAGAATGAATGGATCAGATTCAGAAAACAGAAGGATCAGTTGAGCGACTACTGTAGTAGGCGAAACAAAAAGTGCCTGTCTGTTTAGACTATGGCAGTGGCAGTAGAGAAGAGAAGTGGACATTTGAAAAGTATTTAGAAGGTAGAATGGAATGGATTTGGTGTTGGATTAGAAATTGGGGGTGCGACAGTGGGAAAAATCAGAGATGGCCCTGTAGATACCAGAATATGCCACTCCAAAATAGGAAAGATTGTTGAGCTTCAAACAATTAAAAAGAAATAGATACAGAAAAGCTATCTCTATTTGCCTAAATGCAAGACACAGATTTACAAAGACAATAGGTACCCCCTCTCTACCAGGAATCACAAAAGTTAACCACTGAAGACAACTTTAGATCCTTATGGCCTCGCAATGGCTGCGGAGGTATCTACATTAACAAGCTTTATTTTTTATTTTATTATTTATTTATTTATTTATTATTTTTTGAGACAGAGTCTTGCTCTGTTGCCCAGGCTGGAGTGCAGTGGTGCAATCTTGGCTCACGGAAAGCTCCACCTCCTGGGTTCACGCCATTCTCCTGCCTCCCAAGTAGCTGGGACTACAGGCGCCCACCACCACACCCAGCTAATTTTTTTGTATTTTCAGTAGAGATGGGGTTTCACCATGTTAGCCAGGATAGTCTCCATCTCCTGACCTTGTGATCTACCTGCCTCGGCCTCCCAAAGTGCTGGGATTACAGGCGTGAGCCACCATGCCCAGCCAACAAGCTTTATTAACTAGCATTTAGCTGCCATTTATTTGCCTTCCCCCAACTTGCTGCCCATAGAAACTCAAAGTCCTTTTCCTCTGTCTTGTCACTTCTCTAAAAATTTACTGTTCTTTATTAAAGATACTACATAAGCTGGCATTTAAAGCCACCTCTTTGACAGCTACTAATTCCCCAGGTTTCTCCCATGTATATACAAATATGCATGCTAATCCTTTTCTATTTGTTATTCTTTCTCCCTTCCTTCCTTCCTTCCTTCCTTCCTTCCTTTCTTTCTTTCTTTCTTTCTTTTTTTGAGACAGAGTCTTGCTGTGTTGTCCAGGCTGGTCTCAAACTCCTGGCCTCAAGCAATCCTCCCACCTCAGCCTTCCAAAGTGTAGAGATTACAAGTGTGAGCCACCATTGCTGGACTTCTATTTGTTTTTCTCTTGTTAATCTGCCTTTTCTTACAGGGGTCTATTATAACTAAGAATATATGAGGGTTGAAGAAAAAAATATTTTTCCCCCTACAAGCCCTCATTGTCTGGCTCAAGCAGGTAAATGGGTGGGAACTATGTGTCAGGCCCCGCACAAGGTCAATGATGACTCACCACGCTCCCGAGCATCATCATCTGCCTTGGGCTGTGCAAGTGGATGCACTACTTTCAGTTTACCAGGTGGTACAAATGATGGATGGAGGTTAATTCTAACCATATCCTTTCCAGTGTGTTTGTTGGCTATCCAAATTGTCCTCGTTTTCCATGTTGAATAGAAGACATGGTCACCAAAAAGGGACATTGCAAACAAATTGTGCCTAAAAAGCAACCACAAAAGAAAAAAGAACAATAGAACATTTGTTCCTTGGCTTATTAGAGTTTTACTTCATTTCAATTTATTGTCTAAGTTTTAACTACCTACCTTTTCCATTGTTTCTCATTTACGTTTAGAAAAGTATATTAAGTTTAAAATTTTATTTATGTCATCATACTCTGAGCTAATAAGACATAATTTCTAGCTCCAGATCCATTATTTCATTAATCTTTTAGTCATCCAATAAGTGTGATGAAAATGGGGAAGAACATAGGAACCGGGTAAGAATGGGTTTCTAGTGACATCAATTTCACATGACTAATTTCTGCCTTTTGCCACAAAGCTGGAAAGTCAGTTGCTGGCATGATAGCAAACTAATGAAATATAAAAATATATATAACATAATAATTCCAAAAAGAATAACTATGATCAACATGTGAGAACTTATTACGTGCCAAATACTCTGTTAATTATTTTTGTTTGTATTCATTTACTTTCCCTTCACAATAATCCCAAGAGAGAGATGCTATGATTATCCTCACATTAAAGGAAACTGAGGATAAGAGAAGTTATAGAACCTACTCAAAGTCACTCATCTAACAGATGAGTTCAATCTGGAGCTTGAACTCAAGTCTTTTGGATTCAAAATCTATGTCCTAAACTACTATACCAGTTCTGTTGACAAAAGTAAAATTAATTTATCTTGTGGACTTCAAACGACAACTGTTTTATTTTATACCAAGAGTAAAACTTACTGTGTTGGATGTTTACTAACACGGACAGAACCTCCATCATAATCACAGGAGCAAATAAGAGAATTGCTTCCTTCGCTGCTGTACTGAATCCAAAACAGCCGCTTATCAAGCACATCCAATGACACAGCCGTTATTTTCTCTGATGTCTCTAACAGAGACTTCACTTCCACACCATCAAGATCTGCTCTGTGAAGGCTGCCAGCCACCTCTGAAGACCAAAATATAAACCTGAGGGAAAACACATTACATAGACCCAAAAATGAACGTATAGTGTCTTAAATGGCCAACTCTCTCAATGTTTCAGCAGCTCCTGCACAGGGCATGTTTGACTTTTTTGAATGAAAATTTATTCAACAAGCAAACACTGCCCTATTGTAACATTACAAGCAATTTCAAGTTAGAAGGGGAATTATGCCTCTATAGCAGAAAACCATGATACTTAGGAATATTTATGAAGGGATCCTGTCTCAGTTGAAATGCAGGCAACTGTCCTACGGAAAATGGTGCCTGTGTGCTACAAAAGAGAGTTTTGGTCTCAGTGAGAGGATCCCTTTGAATTTAAAATGTTACAATTCTATCAATCTTCACTAGATTTGTAAATATATTTCAATGTCTGAATACAGCAGAATTTACCTTTCTACTGGATCAACTGCTATATTTGCAGGATATTTTAAAGCACTTAAAAGAACGTGGGAATTATTTCCTTTCATATCTGTTACTGTAATGATTCCTTCCTGTTGATTTGACCAAATAACTTCTTCATTTATCCAATTTATTGCCATTCCAGAAACATTTTTCTCTATATTACATAATATCTGCAAAATCAAATTTTAAAAGTTATTAATATTTCTCCATTCACAAAAAATTATTTTAATTGTTATATATAAAAAGTCTATTATTTTAAGAACTTGTCATCTTTATGCATTTCCAAAATTGTTTAAATAATAAAGTAGTCACAGATATGGTGTCTTTGTTTTGATGCAGCATTATTAAACCTTCTCCGACCCCTAAGTAAATATTTCTGGAAACAGTATTTATATCACAGCTTTGAAACTAAAAATTATCCTACACACTATTTAAACTAGGCAGCCAACCATCATGTGTTAATCATTTCAACTACAGTAATGGTGAAATTTTGCTGCAACCGTAAAGACAGCTTATTCAATTCCATTTGCTAATGGAACTTTCCAGATCTTCAACTGAACTCAATTCCAAGCTTTGCAAGATTTCCTTGGAGTTTGAGCTTACAGATATGAACTTGATGAATTTCTCTTTATTCTTTATATAAAGAATATATATATTCTTCTTTTGGCCTTTATTCTTCTGGCCCTCTTCCTCCAATAGGCCTCTTCCTTTCCACAGTCCTTCATGCCCTCACACTGTGACCAGAGTAGCAGGGCATCTTTTTATGCGCCTTGGGCTGTATTCCCAGCTCTTTCATGATAAAAATGCCCAACCAAAACTTTTCGTCTCTTAATTTCAGCCAGCGGCAGGTAAGCTGGTCTTCTTGGGGAATGGAGGTTGCGAGGTGGGCAGAAGCCCCAATTTGTACTGTTGAAGATTTTCATGGTGTAAATATTCCACCATGGCCGAGATCCAGCTACCCAGGTGACACCATTGAAATCAGAGTTGGGCTGAAATTGCATAATCTCATGAGCCTGTGCTATTTCTACATCTCATGTAAATAAATCTAGCCAACTTATTTTACCATTGAAAATAATGGCCAAAACCGCAATTACCTTTGCACCAACCTAATACATTCATAAACTAGCTCACCCAGGCAAATTGTTTGCATTTTAACAGTTGTCCTTTATAAGCAATGTTTTAACCCAAAGGAAGGAATATAGGGATGGAATTTTAGGCATCAGGCTGATCCTTTCCTAATGACTTGACATAAATTCACAACTATTTTAAGTTTTTCCATGTTCTTGATAGGAAACCCTTCAGATTCTTAGACTCAAGAGTTTGAAACTATACTACCACATGTCTGGAGGATAATGAGTAGCCATCCTTGTTAAAAGTGAGATTAGCAAGTATTGGAGATGTGATAAAACAGATTAGCACCTAATTGAAGCTTTTAAGAATAATTGGAAAGAGAAAGATTTGGCTAAAAAACAAAAAAAAATTGTGCACTT